GCATCAGGGTCTTTTTCTTAGGTGGCCTAAAGATTGGTGGCCATACTAAGAAGGCAGCGTATTAGACGAACAGCAACACCTTCATTTCGGAATTTCACATCTGAAAATTTCATTTCAAGCAAATCCACCAAAAGTTGCACAAAAAGTCTTTACATGAAAAAACATCAGACCTGTCTTCCAAACTGTAGCAGGTAAAGGCGATCACCAATCCGGTGAGAATTCGGTACAGTTCTAGGAAGCTTGGCCATGGTGGCCGCTCCATTAACATTTTGTGGCTTCTCACGAATAATGGCTAGACGTATCGGCTGTAGCTTTCCAAGAATCCTTTTGCATAGCGGATAGAAGAACACAACCGGTGTCTTTCCGCCCATTTTATTAAAAATGCGTAGGCACCAAGAATCACTGAGACAACACGGTTCCAAACGGGTCGCGAGTTTAAAACAGCAGTGCTAGCCTACGCCGTACGTAGTTTTTTCCTTTCTCAACAGCTGTAGCCACATCATACACGGGCGAATTCAGTCTATATTTGCATAGAGTTATGAGGCTTGGCCATTTGAACCCAACAGGGTTGACGACTATTCTTCTTTGTTCCCTTCACTCTGCACCTTCTTTTGACCTCATCATCAATCAGGAATAGTCAGCGTTCAAACAATATGATCTGAAGAAAATATTTACTTACTTGAGAGTCATTTACAGCAATATGAAGTTCAGTGAGCAACGACATTATGAGTATTACCATAAGCTCGATAGAGAACTACGCAGAATTCATACAGCGACGATACACACTCATTTGTGCAACATTTCCTTCCACTTTTCGATGTACTGAGCCACAGAACAATCTTCGAAGCCAGTCATGTACTCTTGAAGTACGGTGACGTTCAGCAACTCCTGACACATGAATGGCAGCAGCCAGCCAACGAGAGGTGTTGTTCCAGGATAGTAGTGAGTTTGTTTATGGTAAAACAACAGGCCGCTCAGCTGCAAAAATTAAGGTTTATACCTTAAAACAACACAAATTTCCTACCTTGTCGGCAGGAAAAGGCCATGACTTTGAGCACAGTGCAGTTTCTATCGCCTCGTGAGTACAGCAGAAAACTGGCAGTCGAACGAAGTGATACTAAAAATCTACTTATTATGATTAAAATCAAACAAAATTTTCCTGAAGAGGAGGCACTTAGTTTAAGGGTACTAATTTTTACAAACGTAAAACTAAAGAGACGGAAACAGCACCATAACTAAAGAAACCAATTTTTTCAAGAACGACCACTGATTGAATCGAGATAAACCTAGCGAAAATAATGATGCGAAATACATCTGGTATATATGATCAAATATTATTGATTCATACATACTTTAACAGCCCTCTAAACGACTAAAACAACTGGGTCTTCATCGTGAACAGTTATTTTTATTACTTTATTTAAAGAACCACATCAGCAACAAAATATACAAAATACGTACAATTTATTTGGCTGTTGCTAAATCCATTTAAACTACCAAAAACCTCGAAGTAGTGAATTGTCGAGCATTGCCAGCTTATCGACACTTTTTCTAGAACGCACAATTGCCTTATGAACGCTGGTCTGCTTCTGTCTCATTCATTCACCTGTGGACTGTCTTGGTCGATTTCAATCGATTTCGTGTCGAACACGTAAGACTCGCTTGCAGGAATTTGAGTTCACACCAAAGCAGTTTACCACAGATCAAATATACTTCTCTAATGTCCCTATCTGCTTCAAATACCTGTCAGAATAAAAAAAAGCATGTCTAACAAGGAACTGTTATTCTCCCTTGCTATGAATCTAAGTCAACGCTGGTGTATGCTATTCAATCGTCGTTTTTCGTCTTTGGTCATAACAAAAGATATGCATGCCGTACAACTACACTGATCTGACTGATGTAAGAAAAGGACAGTTTCCTATCTGACAGATAAGAGATATCAGTCATTAAGTTTAAATAACAGCTTATCGTTTTGGACGGCATTGATAGCAGCGTCACAGAGTGTCTACAACGTCTAGCGTATGAATTTCAGTAGAAGATAAACCAACTCTTGTATGGTCGTCCAGGCACTTGTCTCAGGTTATTCTTGGCTGTTATTATGGTTTTCGGTCGGTCCGTTGGAAAAGAAGTAGCTGTTTCGCCTACCTTTATGGAAGCATTCGTAAAGGCTTGGTCAAACCATCAAAGCTGTTACTTCTGAATCCAGAAAAACAGCGGTTTTACAAGGCCTTTTCAGATACCCGAATTCCGAACTCGAAAGATATATTGATTTTTCAACTCAAATACTAAGTCATTCATTGAACGTACCGTTTTGTTCGCATAAATGAAACGAAAAATTAACATATGCAACGTATACCTGGCTATGCTCCGGCAATGAGATTTCAGCCAATTTCCAGTCAAGCCATTGAAATCGAAACTCGGTCTAATATATGCATTAGAATCAAACATAAGGC